TATATATATATATATATATATATATATATATATATATATATATAAATACCATGATGCAGAAAGGAAATAATTTCCATTCTTCTAGCAACATTGACCGCCTGTGTGGTTTTTACAATGAAAAGCCTTAATTTACACTTCCAGAGAAACAGGAAGCCATCCTCTGTAACACTAGAAGAAACCAGTTCTTACCAACATGACCTCAAGCTGGGAAAGACATTTTCAAAACGCAGATATAAAGATACAGCTGATTGGGCATACCACAGATTGTAAAAAGGTAAATGTCAAACTTATCACTGTTGTAATGTTTCTGTTTAACTATTCCCTGCAGTAGTACAGATGAGCAACTGTTGCCATTAAGGTGGACTCGTAGTACTTGTTCCTTTCGCGCACATGTGTGTGTGTTTTCTGGGTATAATGGTTCCCTCCCACAGTCCAAAAACGTATTTGCTGAACAAATTTGTATGTTTTTAAAGTGACCTTTAACATTAGTTCAGCACTGCCCTTTATGGATGTTCAAACTGTGAGTCCCTAAGCAGGTGCTGCCTGACATGGCTGCCACGTACCCCATTAGTGTAGGTGACAACTACCCATTGTCAAGGAAACATTGCAAAAACAAGACAATAGCTTGGCAACAGGCTGGACCCAGAATCTGGTGCCATACCACTTATGAAACCTACATCATCAGCCACAAAGCATTCTGATAGAACAGGATCAGAAGTAGGCCCGGCCTGGGGAGAGGTGTCATCTCAGGTCAGTGCTTTGTTAGAAGAGACTTTAGAGAAAGAAGCCTATATTTCAGCCACAACTTAAAGTACCTTTAACTTGAGTCTTTGTAAACTGTTATCAAACATACATGTATTCCACAAACTTCACAGACAGAAATAGGTTTTCCTAAGTTGTCTGTTATTGACAGCCACAGATGCAGCAGCAGTGTTCTGTGGTTTTATCTTTACATCTGTGGGTTTTTATGCTTCACCTTAAAGAATTGCACACAGGAAACAATCCCACGCCAACTGCTTAACGTGACTAACTAACCGTAAGCTTCTTGCAACCCTTGGGTCAAAAATAAACCACAAGACCTCAGTTTGAAAACTGAGTGCACGTGAGTTATTTTGACTCATGGGTTAAAGTTTAGTTTAACAAACCAAGTCTGTAACTAGTTGGTATACCAACTGCAGATGATTTACAAGACAAAAGGCTCGTTTTGGGAATAAAGAGGCAGTTTCTTTTTTTAATTGTATTCTTTGTTTTCAATTGTCTTTTCTCCATATAAAGACTACCGGTGCCTATTCCTTACACTTAAGCTTTAATAAACTTTTTTTCATAGGTAGGAAGCAAAAGGTATTGCCTTATTTCTGAGTCACTGTCTGGATCCAGGGAAGAAAAAATCAGATTTTAGAGAAGACATGAGGAAACTTTAGTTTATCGCAGTCATGTTCAAGTGCACGGTGGCGCAACTGGTAGAGCTCAACAGCGTGCAGGTCCCTGGTTCAAATCCCGGTCCGGGGGCCTTTCTGGGTGGAGTTTGCATGTTCTCTCCGTGCATGCGTGGGTTTTCTCCGGGTACTCCGGTTTCCTCCCACAGACCAAAAACATGCATGTTAGGCTGATTGGTAACTCTAAATTGTCCCTAGGTGTGAGTGAGAGAGTGAATGGTTGTTTGTCTCGTTTGTCTCTAAGTGTCCCTGTGATGGACTTGCGACCTGTCCAGGGTGTACCCCGCCCCTCGCACAATGATTGCTGGACATGGGCTCCTGCGACTCCCGTGACCCAAAACGGAAGAAGCGGGTAAAAGATAATGGATGGATGGATGGACCCTTTCACCTGCTTTGTCAAGAAACTCATTTGTTCTGATATGCTATTATTGACACAAGTCATTTCATTATTGTAAATAGGCTAGAGGTTTAGGTCGATCTTTATTAAATATATTGCCAAAAAAAGCAACTTAAGCCACTTACCGTATTTTCCGGTGTATAAGTCGCAGTTTTTTGCATAGATTTGTCAGTCCTGTGACTTATACGCTGAAGCGACTTATATATTTTTTCTTCCCATATTCATAATGCAATTTTTGACTGACACTTTAAATGTCTAAGAACTGAAACAGCGAGTCCTCCCGTGTGTGCTCACTTCACTCAGCTGGTGCAGGCGGAGGAACGCTGGAGAGATAACGGCTCCGGCCGCGATGGATGGATGGATGACACCGCTCCGTCCAGGCTAAATGAAACTGTTTGAACCATTAAATACGCATAATAAACATGACATGCCAGCGGTGACTCATAATAAATGTGACTTATATGCCAAAGCAACTTATATATGTTTATTCCTCTTAATGATGCTTTTATTTTTGACTGATGCAACTTATACGCCAGAAAATACGGTATATTATTTGTCCACTAGAAAGGGTAGTGGTGCATTTTGTTCATTGTTTCTAACCCCAGTCTGTCACATGACAGTTGTATTATATTGCTTTCTACTTTAGTTACACTGAGCAAAAATGTAAAATCCAACACAAAATGTTGTCTGTTAAACCAAGGCCATTCAAGTGACAGCTCGTGGACCACTTCTGGCCCGCGTGTGACTTCAGTCCGATATGTTGGGGTGGAGGGGGGTTCGATTTATTGTATTTATGATTCAATGCAATTAAACAAATTTAAAAGGTAGATCATTGTAACGCAGTACTTGGTTTATTTACATAATGACTTTAATTGCTGGATGCCCGGCCCCTGAGTCTGGCTTTCAGAAACTGTGGCCCCCTATAGCCCTGTCCTAACCTATTTCATTTTTATTTTTCTTCTTTCGGCTGCTCCATTTCTCAGGGGTCACCACAGTGAACTGCCAGTAACTTATATAAAGACTTGGCAACTGGTTTTACGCTGGATGCCCTTTCTGATGCAACTACAGACCAGCGAGCTGCCACAGGCCTCTGTGTGGAGCAGAGAGCTGCTATCTAGGGCACCTGGAGGAGCAGAGGGTGGGGTTTAAAGCCAGGCCTTGCTCAAGGGCCCAGATTTAACTTCTTTAGGTTTATATGAACTGTTTGAAAACTGTTTCAAGTTATCATATTATTTAATCAACGTCCAAAAAGAAAATGGATTGAACAACTTCTAAAATCACGCTCGTCTTGGCCTATTTTAAAATCTTTTCTTTTTTTTGTAACAGAAAGAAGAATTCATTAGATTAAAAAACAGCAATAAATAAATGTATTCATGGATTTGCAGGTAAAGAAAGTAGTTGGATGAATTTTATTGGTGTAGAGTTTTTTCTATTAAATGTTTTAAACAATCATCTGTTTTTATGTCTGTTATGAACAAAAGAAGACATGGCAGAAATACAAACATTTGTACACACAGTAAACACATTTACAGTACACCAGACTTCACAGTAGGGTTTGAACACTATTCAGATTTTTTCTTCGTAATTCTCTTCCCGCAACATTTGCGAGTGCAAAACAAGCAGGATTTCAGCGTCACCCACAAAACGACGATAACAATTGCAAGTAAAAAGCCGGCGACGTCCAGGCTGTGGTACTGAATCCAGTTCAAGTCATGTGCAGCCACCCTCAGGTGCGGTGCTCCCTTGTGTCTCATTACAAACTCGGACCAGAAAACAGCCAGGTCCAGAGGCTGAACGGGGCGGTCCAGGTGGATCTGGGACAGCTCCGTCATCCGTTCCTGGTAACTGAGGGGAAATAAAAACTTTGATTATCGGCCTTGAATCACAGATTTTATTTTAGGTGATGCTGTTTAAACCTTGTGTCTGTAATTTGTGGTGCTTTTGGACACTAAATGCCAAGATAACACAAATTATATAGAAATGATTTAGCAATGTAAACATAAATGGATACTTCAAGAAAATACTGACAATTGGCATAAGAATGGAAACACATGACATGAGAAGACACTGGACATGTCCACAAAGGTCTGATGGGGTTTTTATATATTACATTACATAGTGTTGTGCAGAGGCCAATCTATTTCAAATACATATAGTTGATTTTACATCCTCAGGATTTTACTTATAACTAAAGACATGCATGAGTGGGTTTGTGTGAGATCCTTATGATTAGACAGTTTTAACTACAGTAGACCACAGTATGCTTTTAATTTGGACAGACAGGAGCCAAGCTGCTTAAAACAGATCTTCTAAAATGTCTCACATTCCAAAATGAAAATAATTGTTGCTGTTTGAACTCTTTTATATATATATATATATATATAGGTTTTTACACAATGTCATTTTTGCATCAAAAAGTTATTTACTTTGTTGATATATATTTTTCACATTGCTGTGTATCTTTGCACACTCGTTACACATAATCAAATCTGACTGTTTTTTTTGTGTAAACTGCATGGAAAAGCTAAAACACGTCTCATCTATGATTTTCTTTAAACTAACTAATGCAACTAGACGTTTTCAAGAAGTCTGAAACAGTTAATGAGGATATTAGCTCAAAAGTGCGCAGGTTCTGTGTTTAGTGATTAGACATTTGTAATGAGAAAAAATACGAAGAGCATGTAAGTAGCTGACGGAGAGATCAGGCAGATTTTTGTATTGTGTTGGAAGCCGAAACCTGAAACAACTGTGGTTTTAAATCTAATCCCCATTCAGTTTCACACCCATTTGCAACTTTATGCTTGCGACCAAAATTCAGTACCTCTCATGCTAAAGTAAAATAAAAAAAGTATAAATTCAATGTTTTTATGTGTGTTTTTTTTTTAGACGGTTAAATTTCTATTTCTAAGTTTTAAAATTAGATTATTAGCTTGCTTGTGTCTGTTATCGTCCTTCTTTGTTAGCAGGGACAAAACTATTCAACGTACACTGAAGGTAAGGCACGGACTATTCAAATTGCCTATAATCATACCTTCCAAATGAGTATTGAACAAAGTACAAACATATGTACTACTTCTCATCAGTCATCATTAATTTACTGTCCAGTTGGCATACCTTTTGTCTTGGATAATTTTTTTCAGGGCAGCCACCAAAGTTTCACTTGTCATGTCATAGATACTGTGCTTCTCTGCAACGCCACGGGCCACCATCCGTTCAACATTGTCTCCCTGGTCTCCAAAAAGTGGAAACATCAACATGGGCACTCCATTGCAGATACCTTCATATATACCATGGGTACCACCATGAGTCATGAAGACTTTAGCTTTGGGATGAGCTGGGGAGGACAAAGAAAGTCACAGATAAAGATCCAAGTTACTAGAAACTATGTTTAGGTGATTTTGTCAAAAATAATGAATAGCACAAGATTGAGTTATTTATCTTTTGGTTATTATATCAAACACACCAAGGAGGTCATTCTGAGGTAACCATTTCATAACTCTGATGTTCTTGGGGATATTGTCAGGTAGCGCGCCTGTGTATCTCCACACAACCTGGAAAACAAATCATCCCTCAATTTTCACCACATACTAGCTGCTTAGGCAAAGAATGAAAAGTCTGGCGTGCATACAGCAGAGCAGAGCACAAAGTCCAGTAGTTCAATCTGATTCAGTCTATAGCGTACTGTATGTGCAGAGTGGTTAGTGTGATAATGGTTGTTTTGTTGAGTAGCTAATCAAAGTATCAGTATACAGTGAAGTCAAATGATTCAGTTAAAGTTGTTACCCGTTGGGGTATCTGTCCAAAGGCATCTAAGAAATGTTTAGCCTTCTCCATGGGCATGTTGGACACAATTGATCCCAGCGTAAAGACAATAAAGCCATCATCTCCTGAGCCATCCACAAACTCCTTCAAATCCTGAAAAGATGTTGGAGGAGAAATAAAGATGACATTGATAAAGAAACAAATTCTCAGTTTTAGGCTGAAAATAAGCCATTGCATCATTATGGTACATAATGTTCCTGTTTCCCCATAAAACCTCAAAGAATGAATGAAACTAACTAACAACTGTTTAATCCTGGAAACATAACTGTCTGTGTGTTTCTATAACCATTATTATTGCATAGTATCTGATCTCTGTTGACATAACTGGAGCCTCTCATGCATTTTCCTAGAATACTGATCGTGGTTCAAAAACCTGGATCGGATTGCTCTTACAGAATCAACCGCAACAGCGGTCAAACAAGTTCTACCATATTATGACATGCATCTTAAATAAACAGAGAAAGCAATCTCTAGAATGCTTCTAATAACACTTTCATTTTTCCATTTTTTTGTCTAAAGATGAGTTTTAACACATGCACGAAAAAGTTTTTGAAGAGGGATTTATACCGTACATTTATGTGTAAAAAACACTTTTTTTTCTGGTCGTACGTTAAGTTTTATAGCATAAAAAGTCTTCCTTGAACTTGTTTGAACTCAAAGTTAAGATACAATAGATTTGCCTCAAACATCTCCATATACAGTAGGATGCCTATTTGCACTTGTAAAGATTTATCATTATACTCACCGCAGGTAGAGGAGCTTTCTTTGCACAGTTGATCCCTCCAATCAAAACCATGTTTGGCATGAGAGGTTTGGGCCATTCAAAAGTAAAGTCATATCTTAGAAGCCAGATAGCACCCTGACTTGTAAGCTCTTTATAAGTCATGTTGAAAAGCCTGTCTGTCAGACCATCAAAGTGTTGATACATAATGCTGCACAGGTAGGATTCCATAAAGTACATCATCATGTTTTTCACTCTCTGTGGGAAGTTCATGCGGTCATTGTTACCAGAAAACGACACAGGAACATAGGAAGGTGGAGTGGGACACTGGTTAGCCATGAGATCCAACCCACATGGGAGCCCTCGTAGAAAGTAAACAGCTGGGATGGATAGTACCTTAGCCAGGACAGAGCCACAGGGAAGGAAGGGGTCTGTAAGCATGATGTCAAACCCTTCTCCCTTTAGTTTATTCATTAAAGGCTCATTGTTCAGTAAAGCCTCACAAGCTGCCACCTGAAGAGAAGTGAAGCTTAACAAACGATTGACATTGGCGAACACATCCTTAATTCCTGGCTGCTTTTCAAAAACTCCTTCCCTGAAACTTTTGAGAGTTGAATCCAGTTCATCTTGGGTGAATGGCACCTTGTAGACCTCCGTCTTGAAGCTTTCTGAGCCTTTGATCAAGAGGTTGTTTTCGGGTATCAGAAGTGTGGCCTCGTGACCCCTGCGAACGAGCTCCTTCACCAGTATCTTCATGCTAAGCCAGTGGCTTCCATCCACGGGTAGAACCACCACCTTCCCCCCATGAACAGACTCCAGACTGAGGCAGCAGAGCCAAACCAGCAGTCCCGCTGTGGAAAACCGCACCCTGTTGTTCATTGCCTCCGCTCCAGCACTGCAAGCTGGCTTTTTGTGAGAACTGCTGGTGCCTTTTGTGAGAAGGAAGCTTTATGTGTGTGGGGGTGAGAGAGCGAGTGTGTGTGTGAGGAAATTTCACAGGAAGTGCTGGGTGCAATTTGAGTCTAGCAGTTATGTAACTTCAGGAAGACTGTGGAGGTCCTAACGCTTTGTGGGGGGAGTCTCAGCATTCAGTGGGTGTCCCCAGTTAATTATTAAAGTACATGACTTGGCTGTGTCTTCTTGTGTTTGCTTGTACTCAACACAAAGAAACTATGTCTAAAATGTGTTAATGTATACATGTTTTACAATATTTCTCATTAAGTAGTAATAACTTGCAAGTCATTGTGTTCCATGTTCTGCCTGCCCATTTGAGCAAAGTCCTCTCTGTTTACTTTGGCTGTGCTCACCCCTCCTCCTGTCAGACAGACACATGCGTGTCTTGTGAGTATTAGTGATAGTAGTACTACTCTGTGTTCTCACGCATGCAGGTATATCTGCTGCATTCTCCACAAGTGGTGGCGTGCAAAGCCAGCCGCATGTAACAGGAAACCAACTCCCCTCTCTTTTGAGGGAACTGATTGCATAAAAACAACATAATGTTTGGAAATTTAACAATGGTTACAACTTGTTCCACTGAAAGGGAAGTCATTTTAGTGAGTAACTGTACAATGATAGTAACAATGTATTTTTTAAATGATTAACGATGTAAAGGCATGCCTAATAGAATGTGTTGTGGTTTGTTGCATTTGTATTGTACATGGTGTTAAAAACCTGCTGAATTGATACATATGGCAACACATCCCATACAGTATAAAAGCTGGGGTCCCTAATTAACAGGCCAAGGATTTATATCATTCATAGATCATTTAGTACAAAACTGCATAGAAATATGAAAAAAAACTTTGCTTTTTTAATTTATTTTTGCTGCTCCCTTCTGTGGGGGACGACACAGCAAGAGCGCTTGCATGGAAGAAATCATTAATTATTTTATTTATTTATTTATTTACATGGGTCACCCTTCTTGATGCATGGGCTTGACTCACAGCCTCAGGATCACAAGACCTGGGTTGCATCATTAAGGACATCTGGAATAAAACATCGCCATTGCAACATTTGCCAAATCTTGTGTACCATTTCACTTGCTGTGGTGACACCTGCAGGTGGGAGCAAGAAAGAACAACAATGTTTAGCTGTAATTAGGCATTTCATGCAGAGAGGCTCATGATGAGGAGATGTGGTCTAATATAACTTTAAATGTTGATGGTCACAGCCCTAAGTGATTACTGGCACATAGCTGGAGGGCTCCTTTATTTAAACACACAGCTTTTGTTTCTTTTCTGTTAGATGAAACATCAGAAAAGAAGTCTAGTTGTGTTGTTGTAGGATTTGCCAGGATGCCTGAATGGATGACTGAATGTCTACAAACACAGGACTCTTCTGTCTTCATTGTGTTGCTTGCTGGGTGTTCCTCATCTAGTGGAGACCAACAAGTTAGGCCAACATATAATTCAAGGATTCAAGGCTCTTTGTTTGTCGTTCAACATGTGGTGGAACGGTATTGTGTACACAGAGTCCCAGTTACAACCAACAAAATATTAAAATGTAAAAGAAAAACAGTAATAAGACTTAAAATATGAACTTAGAAAAACGTTACCTAAAAACACACTAAGCACTAATACCATAAAAACAATACACTGAACAGCAGCACGAACATGAGTCTGTGTGGGCAGATGAGCACGAATGAACACAGTAACATGAAACAGATCAGCAGCAACATGAAACAGATCAGCAGCAACATGATGTGATTTTTTTCATAGTGATTATCCTGGTTAAAAAGTCATGAGTCAAACAGCCTCAGGGTAGAAGCTGTACCTCAGTAGTGGTTCTACACTTAATGACCCTTAATCTCCTTCATTAGGGGAGTGGGGCAAAAAAAATGTGTGTACTGGGTGAGTGAGGTCCTTCATGATGCAGGTGGCCCTCTTCTTGCATCTGGAGGTGTAGATGTCTGTGACGGTGGGGAGGATGACTCCAACAGACTTCTGTGCAGCCTTCACTACTCTCTGCAAAGCTTTTCTTTGGTAATAAACCAATAATATATTTATATCATGCCACAAATAGGACACAAATGCATTTGAATTATGACTTTTAAAGGTAACAGGCTGCAACAGAGAGTAATTTAGGCCTTCAATGGGTTATACATTACTTTATTGTACATTGCTTCAGCTTCTATTTCACTTCTTCATTGTTAACTGTTTTCAAGAGATCCACTTCCTAAAATCACAGAGCCTGTCCATTTACAGACCTGGTTGTTTTGAAGCTAAATAAGAAAAACACGAAGAAGAATGAGTTTTGTTTTGGTATCATTGCGTTAATAGTTTGCGTGCACTTTGTGTGCACAAAACAATAGTGCGTGTTTAAGATTTAAAAGAATAATCACCAATATGGCTGTTCAGTGGATTTGTTAGGATTAGTGAATAACTTGGTGACATTTGCATTTTTTGCCACTAAACCATTTTCTGCTTCACATCATTTTAAAGTCCATCTTACCTGTGTTTGATTAACAAACTAGTCTAAGTAACTGCCTACTCCTCCAACAATGTAACGACTATGCAGCAAGTCTGTATGATGGTGCTGACCCAATGCAGCAGAGACAAATCTTGCTACGTGTTCCTACGTAACAAAATAAAATGTGACATAATCAGGCTTTATGTTATGTAACCCAAGGAACAATAGTAACCTAGTTTTGTAATTCGTATTATTCTGTGCCTCTTTAGTACGCTGACATACATTTGCTGATGTCCAACATCACCTCCAGAATGCCTTTATGAGGTTTCAGCCAAATTAAGCTACAAAAAAGAACAAAATGTGAATACAGTAGACCGTTAAAAATAAGCCACCCTTCTATACTTGCTGCTGCCCATTTGAGACAATTCAGTGTGAAATATTTCAGCTGAGGCCACCAAAGAGTGACAGGTGGAGCACACACTTTTACCCTTAACTAATGAAAACAGAATAAATGGACTTGGCAGCGGAAGTATCCTTCTAGGATTTGCAGTTTTTTCTCTCTCTTTCAAAAAAAATGCTGCATTAGGTTTTGCAACAGCTAACCTGTTTTCTGCACTGAAAAGCTTTTAGGTCATCAAGGTTTAGACTATTAAGGAATTTGCACTACTGTGCCACATGCATGAAACACAATCCTTCTCAGGCACACAGTTCTGCTGCAGAATGATAGTTATACTGTATACTGAAATTTAAAGGAAAAGTTGCAATTTCATTTGTTTTTGGCCCGAGTGAGGCAACAACTTAGACTGACGGGCTGTGGTATGATAAATTACACCTGTCCTTTACCCTGGAAAAGTCTGTGACCTTTAACATGCTGACTCTCCATGACTAATGCCTATGCTGTTTCGTAATTTTACAGGGAGTCTATCCAGCTGCACTCATTCAGCAACACCTGTTTTTAAACCAGGCGACATGAAATAAGATGGAAATGTAAATCTTGTTTTGTTTTTTTTTTGTGTCATTTCGGTGGTGTTTTAAAACGGGTGTTAGAATGAGTGAGTTGTTTTGAGCTTTTGAACATAGCTGACCAAAGGATGTCAAATACATTTCAGTGCAAACTGTCAGTCTAGGCCTAAAGGCAGGTCTATGAGGTGAGCTCCTGACTGACTATCATTTTATGTTGCTTTCACATCATATTTGATTTGTGATGTATTTAAAATGCAAATGCATGATGTCTTCCCAGTGAATTTCAATTTACATAGGTTGTGTTTCTGGACTAT